CACCGAGTAAGCAAACAGAGCCGAGTTCCACGTGCCGCGTAACCATGCTAGCAGCCCTGTGGATTTATACCTCTCTGTCTGTTCAGAATAGGAAATGTGTGTTAAGTGCGGACAGGATGACAAGAGAGCCACGTCACTGGATTTTTAAAAAAATATATTTTTTAATTACAGTTGACGTACAATATTCTATTTGCTTCAGGTGTATAACCCAGTGGTTAAACATTTATATACTAAGTGGTCACCCGGTCATCATGTGTCAGGCATGGAAGGCACCAAGGACCACCACTAACCAGAAACAGGAAGTGCTGGACGCTGCGCTGGAATAAACATTTGTTCTACGAACCCCGATGAAACCCTGCGTTTTACCTGCCTACTAGGAATTAGGATTGATCATTTAGGCCTGACTTTTCAGATTTGTGGATTTTATAGAAATAGGAAGTAGCAAGTTTCCCCTGTATTTGAGATATGCTAGTAACTTCATCAACGGGGTCAGTGGGGTTTTGAAAATTAAACGAGATACTAGTTTGCTCTGGAACAGCTCTGTGAGCATGATGTTGACATGATCACCTGAGCAGACTTTCAGTTCTGATGACTTGGACTCTTGTGCTCTATAGACCCGTCTAGGGCACCGTGACTGAGACCATGTCTTCATGCTCTAGAAATTTTCTCTCGAAAATTCTGATAAGCTCTATCTCATTAAATTTTTGGCATAAATTGCTCTGATGGCAGACCCTAATCTGTGACAACATTCTCATTTGTTTTATATTTTTATAAGCCCTACCCTTTAGTTGAATATTATTAAAGCTTGATGATGGCCCCATCCAATGAGGAAAGACAAGTGGCAGCCACCTCATCATTGTTTCAAGTCCTTTTTGCCACGCAGAGGTCCTGTTTTTAGAGCTGATCCTGAGGCTCAAGTGGAAGTAAGAGCCCCCCCTGTGCTGGGAGGAAGCTCCCGGTGACGGCAGCTGACCTGGGCTGGGCTGGGGCAGCACAGCTCTGCTGGGTGCGGGGCCTCTGCCTAGTGCTTGAGGTTTGATAACTCCGCCTTTGTTGAGTTATCCAGTAGAAGACCACTGTCCTATGAGATCAGTACATTCCCCTGGAATTACCTCTTAATTAACTTTTCTGGTACTTAATCATCATAAGCCTTATTTAATATCTAGGCAGTGTGGGAAAGTGCCGATGGGATTTCTTGTATGAGCAATAAGATAAGGTCCTTGGAAACTGTTGAATCAATTCTCATTAATGTTGATTTATAGGACTGAGGGTTTACCAGCTGTCTGCTAGCTGGCAGGTTAGCAAGTAGATGGGCTTTGTAGAGACCCTCAAATGTAATGGACTCTAGACCCTGACCGTTTCAGTGTCCTGAATTTATGACGCTTTATAGCAACAGTGTGTGTTTTGTGTTTTAGGGAAAATACAGAGGCACCAGGATGGGTTAGGACATAAACCAGGGCCCATCCGACTATTCACACTCCCATCCTAAACAGTCCGGCAAGACCACACAAAAAAGAAATTGGGGATAGGAACTTGAAAGGACCATGTAGTGTGCTTTGGAACTATTGAAAATTATGCTGTAGTTACATGACTGGGTGGGAATATAAATTATTTCCTTTATGGAGAGCCATTCGGCTATAGCTATCAAAATTACAGATGTGTACAGCCTATTGCTTAGCGATTTCATTATCTCTAAGAATTATCTGACAAATAAACTTCATTTGAAATGAAATGTGTTTGAGGTTATAACTGTAACAGTGTTTAAATTATACACCAATAAGTTATTGGGAACATATAGTCCACCTGGGCAACGAAATGCTATGTTGTTATGAAAAAGAATAAGGAAGCACTCAATACTGCTGTGCAAAGACCTCCAAGATGTGTTACAAATAAGGTTCAGGACAATGAGATGATACCATTTTATTAAAAAGGGACGAAAATTAAATTTATACACACACACACACACACACACAAAGAGAGAGGGGGAGGAGGAGCAAGGGAGGAGGAGGAGGAGGGAGGGAGAGAGATTCTGTATATGCATGAAGTATCTCTGGAAGGATACATACATGTGAACCATGTAGCTTAGACTGTGGGGAGGAATTGAGTAACTAAAAGACAGAATTAAGGGGGAGACCTTTTGTTGTCAATTGAACCATGTCATTATAAAACCTAAGAGAATCATTTGTAAATGGAGCCTAAAAAAACATTCCTAAGTGTGTTAATTGCTTGTGTGTTATTGTTGGACGAATACTAAGGGTTCAGCAAAAGTTTATATCCTTTTCCCTAGACTTTACCGTAAAATAATGCGGTTGTACATACACTTGGAAGACGTATTGTTTGGTCGAGTGTCTATTTTTTCTTTTAAACAGGAAGAGAGAAATGCTCATTTTTATATGGACTTCCGTCACTGTGTGACCCTGAACTTTTTTTAAAAAATATATTTTATTGATTTTTTACAGAGAGGAAGGGAGAGGGATAGAGAGTCAGAAACACCGATGAGAGAGAAACATCGATCAGCCGCCTCCTGCACACCTCCTACTGGGGATGTGCCTGCAACCAAGGTACATGCTCTTGACCGGAATCGAACCTGGGACCTTTCAGTCCGCAGGCCGACGCTCTATCCACTGAGCCAAACCAGTTAGGGCTGACCCTGAACTTTTAATGTGTTGTTGCTGCTTCTCGCAACCCCAGGTCGCCACGGAAGGGTTATCAGGCAATCTTGCCCTCCTACAGCTCCTCATAGAATGTGGGAACTACACAGAGCAGAGGCCAGCAGGCCCTGAGCATCTGCTCAGGCTTAACTACAAACTGGGGTGTCTGATGTCTGTGACCCCACAAATAAGACAAAATGGAAATAAATGGCACTGTGTAATCTAGGAGGATATATTCCCTCTTGGCCCCTTCTCCACCCCCCCCCCCAAAATTTCATGAAACACTCAAGAATTTAGTCATATTAGGCCAACATAGCTCTAAAAACTTATTAAGCTATCTAAATGGTAACTTTACTTTCTTGGATCACAAAGAACTAAAACTTAATCACAAAAGTGTAAACAAAAGTCGTTCTCCCCCAAATAACTCTGCAGTTACACACTCACTGTTTAGAAAGTGTTGTTAGAGGCAGTGTTCTGTGACATGCAGCCAGGCCTATAGAAGGGAGAGTCTTGCATTTCAATTTTTTCATCATTAAACAAGTAAGCATAGATAGAATTAAACTAGCAATTCAAAAGCCAGGGGGGAAATGAGTAAGAAAAGTAAACAGTGTAATAAGAGGAAGGGATGATAAAAATAAACGCAGAAATTAATGGTTCAGAAAGCAGAAAGGAAAGGGTAGAATTAGCAAATTAAAGTAAAATCTAGCTAGCCTGTTTGCTTTTTAAAAAAAAAAGAATAAAATACCCCCCAAAATATTTGACAAAAATATTCAAAGAAAGAAAGAGAAAAGAACAACTGTACTAGTAGACCATCAGGAATGAGAAGGGGAGTGTAAGCCCAGGTGCAAAGGAGATAAAACGTACAAGAGAAACTCCTCTAAATCTCGGGGACTCAAATGTGGTCCACAGACCAGCAGCAGTTTCAACCCGGGAGCATTACTAGAAATTGACGCTCTCAGGCCCCATCCCAGACCCACTGAGTCAGAATCTGCATTTTACAAGATCCCCAGGTGATTCACATGTACTTTAAAGTTTGGGTGACATTGCTCTAAATCAGTGATTCTCAATCTTGGTGACATACAATGATCACTGTCAGAGCTATAAAAAAATACTCCCTGGGATTCTGACTTCACTGGCCTACGCATCGGGATTATTCGGACTTGCCCAGGTGACACTAATGTGAAGCCAGAGTTGAGAATCACTGCTCTAAATTATTCTATGCAAATAAATGTTAAACATCTCAATACAGCCCTAGCCGATTTGGCTCAGTAGATAGAGCATCGGCCTGCGGACTGAAGGGTCCCGGGTTTGATTCCGGTCAAGGGGCACATGCCCAGGTTGCAGGCTTGATCCCCAGTTGGGGGCACAGAGGAGACAGCCGATCGATGATTCTCTCTCATCATTGATGTTTCTATTTCTCTCTCCCTCTCCCTTCCTCTCTGAAATCAATAAAAACATATTTGAAAGAAGACTGAGGTTTGTGATCACTTCATAACTTATCACTGCATTTTACATCTGAAACTAATATAATATTGTATGCTAATTGTAATTGAAAAAAAATTTTTTTAAAGACTGAGGTTTGGAGCTCAGTGCCTCAGGAAGAAGATGGTGCCGTGACCAAACCATGGGCTCTCGTGGGAGGACAGATTTACGGAGGAGGGGAGCTGATGCGGACTTGCCATCTGGTTCTAACACGCGAGGCCCAACACGTGGCCTCATTTCTATCACTCGGACCTTTTCACTCCACCCAACTGAGCGGCAAGACTTTTTCCACAAGGGCCTATCAACTACAGGAGTCAGAAGACCCCACCCCTCTGGGCCTCAGTTTCCACCTCTATGACATGAGGAGGAGGATGCGGGGCCAGATGATCCCACCCCCAACCAGACGGTCACTTTTGTACCAGGTCTACCACGGGAGGGGAGCTTTCTCACAGAAGACTGCAGAGGGATGACTGTTGTTCTCCCAAGAACTGTTCACAGTCCCCTGGTTATGTTCCAATAGTACCAGCCGACAGGAAAACTACAGCCAGGAGCAAGCTCAACAGCCACTGTCATCACAACCCCACCCCTTCTACAGCTAATGATTGACAGGGCGAGTAGCCCAAACGAAACCTTGCTTGAGAGTATGAACAGTCACATGTCTTAACTAACACTGTGATACCCATCAATGAAGCTGGCAAGCCTTTCGACAAAGGGAAGGGTATTCTTCTTGAACACACGTAAGCGTGTGTGGATGTGACATAGAGACTTCTGAGCTCAGAGCTGGCAGCAGGGAACATTCTCGGGAAACCTGTTTTCACTCGTCCACATACGGCTCATGGCACCCAAGAGGCAGCAGAAGCATCTCACCTAAGCCGTTCTTCTTCTTTTTTCCGAAGATTGAAGTCTCGCTGGACCACCTGGAGGACATGCTCGGTTTCATCATCAGTCAGACTGGACAGGTCCAGCTTCCTCCCCATGATTCAATGCCAAACGCGGCCGAGAAAACAAGACCTGAAAAAACCAAGGAGAGACCACAAATTGAGGGGAAGATAAAAATGATCGATGGATAAAGTTTACCAAGTTTGTGATTAAACAAAATTAAATGCAGTGTTTATATAAGGTAGTATCTTGCTGCGCTCTCATACTCAGCAAACATTTACCGATGACTTCAGCAAGCCTGCAGAGAAAAGGAAATGATCATCTGCTGGTTTCACTCATCCTGACTTAATTAGAAATAAACAAGTTATTCTCCTCAACAAAGTGAAGATACATGAGACCTGGTGTGGATTTCTATGAAGGTAATATCCCCAAAATCTAAATTTTATGGTTTGAAGTTTTATACTCTAAGTACCATATGCGATTGCAAAATAAAATAAACTATAGTACTTAAAAAATATCCTATTTACACTGTATATCCTTGAACTTTTCATCACATGACTATAAAATATAAACTAGAAATCAATAAACTCTCTTCTGCAAAAGGAAAAATACATATATACTAAAATCTTATTTAGCCATTTTCCAGCAGGAGAAAAGACAGTATTTCAAAGAAACACCTACCAGCAGTGCATAGCTAATAATTACGGAAACTACATATCTAATGAATGGCTGCATCCAGGGATGAAATCAAATAAGTAATTCTAGCAAATAGCCCAGAACTGAAGACCAGCATAAACAGAAATGCAAACATCTTCAGCAAAATATTAGTGGACCAATTCAGCAAGATTTCAAAAGAATTATTATATACCATGACCAAGTGGGCTTTATCTAAGTGATGCAAGGTTGGTTCAACATGCAAAAATCAATCGTGTCATTCAGCACATTGACAGAATAAAAGGGGAAACTAATATAATCATTTCAAGAGATGCAGAAAAAGCATTTGACAAAATTCAATACCCATTCATGATAGAAATCCTATGCAAACATAAACTAAAGGAAACTTCCTCAATCATACAAAGGTCATTAAAAAAATAAAAACAATAAAAAACTACAATTGACATCATACTCAATGATAAAAGACTGAAGGCTTTCCCCTAAGATCAGGAAAAAGGAGAGAATGTCTACTCTCATGACCTCTACTCAATACTGGATGTTTTTACCTTAAAGCTACATTAATCAAGACCGAGTGGTACTGGCATGTAGGTAGGTGTATGGGTTTGCTAGGGTTGTTATAACAGAGTACCACAGACTAGGTGGTTGGAACTAGAGAAATTTATTTTCTCACAGTTCCGAAAGGCTAGACATGTTAGATCAAGATGTTGGCAGAATTCATTTCTTGTGAGGCTTCTCTCCTTGGCTTATAGATATCTGTCTCCTCCCTGTGTCCTCATCGGGTCTTCTCTCTAATAATGTCTGTGTCTAAATATCTCTTTTTAGGGGTCTCAGTCATATTAGATTAGTGTCAACCCTAACAACCTCATTTTAACTGAATTGTCTCTTAAATATCCTATCTCCAAATACAGTCTCAATCTGAAGTAGGGTTAGGACTTCAACATACGGATTTTGGGGTGATCTAACCGGCCCATAGCATCCATGTTTTGCCCCCCTCCAAATCCATATCCTTCTCACATGCAAAATATATTCACCCCATCCCAAGATCCACCAAAGTCTTAACCTATTCCAGCATCAATTCGAAGTCCAAGATTTCATCTAAATATCATCTAAAGTATATGTGAGACTTGAGCTATGATTCATTCAAGGAAAATTCTTTTCCAGTGATAAGGTACATTTCTAATGAAACCAGGTAAGAAGTTATCTGCTTCCAAAATAACAATAGGTGGGGCAGCCAATGGACAGATACTCCCATTCTAGATGGGAGACATTGGAAAGAAGAAAGGGGTACTGGGTCTCAAGCAAGTCTGAAAGCAGCACAAATCCTCTTTGGCTCCATGCTCTATCTTCGTGCCCACCAGGTGGCCCTGCCTTCTGAGCCCACGAGGGTGGCTGCCCCACCCTTGGCCCTGGGTGCAGCCACAGTGCTTGGCCTGCTGAAATCCAGGAGATGGCCCCACCCTCTATAACTGAGGAGGAGAGAGCTCCACCCACCCAGACCATGGGCACAGTGGCAGCCCTGCAGACCTCTGAATTGCCTGTTGGATCATTCTTCTCTTTTCTTGAAAAAAGAACACGTTTGTAGCTAGATGGCTCTATGGGCTCATCTTGTAGAATCTCAGAAGTCCAACAGCCTGCCTTCACTTCATCCTGTGTCTGTTGAGTCTAAGCTGGCAGTGTTTCTGTTCATACCAGTTCTCAAAAGCTTTGTTGGCATCCAATGCAATTCATGGGGGCCAAGCCACCAGACCAGAGGGTCCTCTGAGCATCTTTCCTGGATACTGAATCTCCATCCCTGGTTTTTGCTGAAATAGTCGATTGGATCCCTCAGTCATCTGTGTCATCCCTTTAGCAAGTTGGTTGTCCAGCCACACCCTTGATGTTCTCATTTTTGCAACATGGACAGACTAAGAACTTTCCAAATCTGCATGTTCTGGTTGCTTTTGCTGAACAACTGCTTCTTTAATTTAACTCTCTGCTCTCACATTTAACTATAAGCGGCAAGGAGAAACCAGACCATGTCTTCAACACTTTACTTAGAAATCTCTTCAGCCAAATATCCAATTTCATCTCTCACAAGTTCTACCGTTCACGAAACACTACACACAATTCAGCCAAGCTCTTTGCCACTTTATTCAAGGACTGCCTTTCCTCCAGATTCCAATAACATGTTCCTCATTTCTGAGATCTCACCAGACCCAGCTTTAACATTCACATTTCTACCAACATTCTGCGCGTGATGATGTATGTTTTCTCTAAGTTGATAGACCCTTTCTCTACAGCTCTCCTTTTCTTCCTCAGCCTCAGCACAATCACCTTTAACATCCATATTTCTACTTATAGGTCCTTCAAGAGTGTGTAGGCTTTTTCTGGCATGTACCTCAAAGCTATCCAGCCTCTACCCGTTACCCAGGTCCAAAGTCACTTTCACATTGTTGTACAGAGGAAACAAAAATAGCCAGTGCCCACCTTAACCAGTTTGGCTCAGTAGATAGAGCGTCGGCCTGTGGACTCAAGGGTCCCAGGTTCGATTCCGGTCAAGGGCATGTACCTTGGTTGCAGGCACATCCTCAATAGGGAGTGTGCAGGAGGCAGCTGATTGATGTTTCTCTCTCATCAATGTTTCTAACTCTCTATCCTTCTCCCTTCCTCTCTGTAAAAAATCAATATATATTTTTTTAAAAAATGGCCAGCACCCAATGTGTAATTTCATTGGTAGTTACACAACTGCAAATTAAAACCTCATTTCACACCCACCGAAAGAAAAAGTCTTCATCAAGTGTTGACAGAGGCCAGGACAAAGGCAGTTTTCAGATAGTGGGTTCAAATTGGTACAATCTATAATAATAAAAGTGTAATATGCTAATTAGACTGGACATCCATCTGGACATCCTTCCAGACGACCTTCCAGACAAAGCCAGGGCTGCGAGGGAATCCTGGGTCCCAGATGCCTACCAGCAGCTGGAGGGAAGCCCGAGTCCCGGGTGCCAGAGGGAAGCCAGTGCCGGCAGCTGGGGGAAGAAAGGCCTACTCTTGCATGAATTTCGTGCACCGGGCCTCTAGTGTCTTCATAACACAATTAGGTGTCATTTTCAAAGTTGAAGATGCATGTGCCCTATGAACTAGCATTTCTGCCACATCTAGGTATATTCTTCAGATATACTCTTGTAAAAAATATGCACCAATTGGGTGGAATCATATAAAATTTCTAAGTCTGTACTATTTTCACCTGTAAAAATGGCTATTTTACACTCTTCAACCTAACACAAGAGTATTAATAGCAGTCACATTCAAAATAGCACAAAATAAATTAAAACATCATAAATAAAACCTAGAAATGACCTCAAACATCCATAAACAGGAGGAAGGATAAACAAATAGTGTATATTTGTCTCATACAATGGAATACTCTAATGCAGTGAAAAAGAACATATTGTAAGTTTATTCATCATCAGGAATGAGTCTTAAAAACCTAATGTTGAGACAGAGAAGCACACCACATGTGCCTGCATGTACAGTATGCATACAGTATGATTCCTTTTACAGGAAGCTCAAAAGCACACAAAGACAAAAATATACATTTTTTAAGAATAAAGGTGGTAACTATAAAGAACAAAATGGGACCTCTGAGAGGAGAGGATTTGGTTGGAGATAATCATGTAGGGGTTTCAGAGCTATCAGTGAAGTTCTACCTCATTAGCGAGACAGTGGTACGGCAGCTGCTACTTACTATTATTAATATCATTATTAAAAGTTTCAAGTTACATGCACTTTTGTCTGTATCTTTCACAAGCATATAAAGTAAAATAAACCTAACACTAAACAAAAGTCATCTAATTTCATTATAATTAAAGCAAATATTTGACATCAGGTATCCTAAAGGAGACATGATAACTAAAGCAAAAACTTGAAATGTTATTCAAGGAATATCTGATTATAATAAAAATGATGATAATGATTTTAACCATTATTTGTTGAACACCTGCTATGTTCCAGATGCTTTAGCTTTTCATATATATACGAGAGGCCCGGTGCATGAAATTCATGCACTCAAGGGGTGCCCCTCAGCCCGGCCTGCACCCTCTTGCAATCCGGGAGCCCTCAGGGGAAGTCTGACTGACAGCTTAAACCAATTCATGCATTTGGCGGGGAGGGCCCTTAGCCTGGCCTGTGCCCTCTCACAGTCTAGGAGCCCTCGGGGGATGTCCAACTACCGGCTTAGGTCCGCTCCCAGTCGGACATCCTTAGCCCTGCCGCGGAGGTGGGAGAGGCTCCCGCCACGGCCCACTGCACTCACCAGCCGTGAGCCCAGCTTCTGGCTGAGCAGCACTGCCCCTGTGGGAGTGCACTGACCACCAGGGGGCAGCTCCTGCATTGAGCGTCTGCCCCCTGGTGGTCAGTGCACGTCATAATGACCGGTCATTCCGCCATCAGGCCGAAACCAGCTCTCCGACATCCCC